CACCTCTTAAGGGAGGCGCCCCCCCACTCCGACAAGACAACCCCCTCCCTCGACTCTCCTCCCCCCACTCACCTGAGAGCGGCGGCGACAGCAGCTGGTCCCCGTCCCCCTGCGCTCGCCTCATACTGTCCGCAACATCCGGGACCTGCGGGACCGCCGATACACAAATACACACACACTCGGAGCGCGCACACTCACACACACACACACCGACACACACCGGCCGGGACGTCATGGCGTCAGCACGTCGACGCAGCGAGCGCGTACCCGCCGGGCCCCACCCCGCGCGGTCTCCTCCCCTCCGCTCCTTTCCCTCTCCTCCCCTCCCCGGGTTCCCTGCCCCGCCTCTCTCTCTCTTAAGCTCCGCCTACCTTCCCCAGTACGCATGCGTTCCGGGTTCTCTCCTGGGGATTTGAGAGGAAGGAGGGGCTTGCGTGGAAAGAGGCGGGAACTGGGAGGGGGGTGCGTGCAAGGCGCGGGAGGCCGTGCCGAGGTGCGAGGACCAAGTAGCGGCATATCAAGTCGGGGGTTGGGGCGGGCAGCATAACAGCAAGGGCGTGTCACAACAGCAACTTATGTCTGCGAGCAGTTCCTGGAGTACCCAACGACTTTTGCATGAATCAGCTGATTTTTAAAAAACCAACCCTGACAGTAAAATATTTTTGGACTTTATGAGGATGCTAGAGACCCTTTTAAGTAACTTCTTTAGCTGTTGTTGTTTTGGTTTTTGAGGTTTTTTTTTTTTTTTTTTATAGAAGTCTGTAGCCCAGGCTGGAGTTCAGTGGCACGCTCATAGCCACCGCAGCCTCGGCCTGCTGGGCTCAGGTGATCCTTTGCCTCAGCCTTCCAAGTAGCTGGAACTACAGGCGTGAACCACCACACCCAGCTAACTTTTTGATTTATTGTAGAGACAAGATCTTGCCAAGTTGCCCAGGCTGGTCTCAGGCCCCTGGACTCAGGCACACCCAGTCTTTTTAAGTAACTTAAAATTTAGCACTTGGAAACAAAAACAAGAAGGAGTACCCTTTCAGGGGAAGGCAAGACATATAGGTGGCCTAACTGAAAGGAAGCAATTCAGTGACAGTTCGTTGTTTTGGACACCTGAGCCCCAATCTGCCTCACATCTTTGCTCCCATGGGCCATACGTGTTTCTTGAGTTGAGCAAAACAAAAAGTCTCAGAACATCTTGGCTCTGGGAGAAAAAAAATGTCTTCTCAGGTTAGAGTAATGTCAGTGTGGGGTATTCGTTACTGCCATGATTCTTTCCTCTGGCTCAAACTTTTAAAAACTGTTTGATTACACATACACATACACACAGCATTGGATGTAAGGGAGCAACCTAATGACCCTGTGGGTTATGAGGTGACAAAGTGCCAGCCCTGCCTTGGGAACGGCTTCTGGGAGCCCTGTCTCCAGGAGACGGTGCTTACTGTTTTCTGTCACATGCGTCCTGGTGCCAGGTGGCTGGTGAGTCTGTTCAGCAGGGAAGTCTGTGAGCCCATGAGCAAAACCACAGGGGTTTGGGAAAAAAGGTCCCTGACAGCGCCAGGCTGTCTTCCACTTTCACATACAGAAGCAGATCCTATAATCCCACAGTTTAAAGTTTCCTGGGAACCAGGGACAAAACACTACAAACTCTCTGAGTTTGTACAACCCAGTTTTCAGCCAAAACGATCAAGAAATGGAAATTCTACATTCTACATTGATGTGGTGATTGTGCCTGCCCCACTTCAAAACAAAAAGAGACTTTGTCACCTATCAGGCAGGTGCTTGAAACTTTTCAGTGAGATTCACTTATCACTGTTGTCAACAAACATTATTTCTTTAGCTGAAGCCAGCAGAGTTTTTGATCCTTGTGAAAATTCAGAATGCCCTAGAGATAACCCAGTAACCAGTAGCAAGTAAGTGGCTCCTGGTGTCACTGAGTCTATTCAATTACCTGTTGCTGTTGACCACATGTCACATAAAAGAAAAGGGATACTCCTTGAAGGAAGGAGCATAGAAGTGGGGAAAGAGAAGAAACTGGAGGCATGGACAGCTTAAGATAGCTACGTCGCAGTTGGGGCTGATCACTACAGTTTCACCAGACTCTGCCATGGGCCTAGGAGGGGACTTCTCAGGGCAAGCGAGTCTGTGCCAGCAGCTTGTCCTGGCTGGGCCTGAATCCCAAGTGATCTGGAAGGATATGAGAGGTCCTATCCCCATCTGTAGCCTGGTATGATGAGGCTCCCATTATACTGTTGGGACACACCGCCCACCTGAGGTGTGATCCTATCGGCCTCGGTACAAAAGACTTTGATTTGGTGTGGAGCTGATTAGACGATTGTAGATGTCCTTGGAAGCACTATATGGAAGAATTTTAAACAGCTTCTCCTTTTTAATATGCACTTCCTCTTTGGTTTTAATTATTTTGTTCCTACATTTTCCCTTTCAATTTACTAAAATCTAGAAATGTAATTAGAGCAGAGGCTGGGCTCAGAGAAAGCTGCCAGGATTTCCACAGCATGATTAAATATACCAGGCATCCCTTTAGTGTGGGACTGAAAAATAGAATTCTCATTATTATCTTTTCCTTATCCACGAAAGAATCAGTACCACGTACAGATACAGGTTTATTGAAAATGCAGCACTAATTAAAAAACTCACCCAGCCTCTTGACGAGGTTTGGGGGGGGAAAAGTACAATTATTTAATTATTTCCTCCATTTAATGTTTTGTTGTTGTAACCCATGACAATCAAGAAGCCCCTCTTGTTCTTTTTTCCTCAAAATAAAATTCTTCTCTCCTCCTGAGGGACTTAATGAGGCTTTTATCTAGGCAACAACAGTCAAGCTTACAATGGCACCAGTTCAATTCACTGCTCCTTGTGATGGTAGGAAACACGCAGAACTCATTTTCTTAATCCAAAACATAAACGACAAAGTGTTCATTGGCTGTCATGAGCCAGGTCTGGGTAAGAGATCTTCCCAAAACACCCCTAGATGTCTGGTATTTATTTATTCTGCCGACAAGGACCTTTGTCTCCATTTTACAGTCCAGTAAGCAAAGGCATGGTTTCCCTTGAAGGTATAGGGGAGGGAGAGGCAGGCAGGACTGAATAGAAGGTACATAGAGACTCTCATTTTTGTTGTAAGCACTAGAGGAAGATGAAATCTCTCTCGCCTCTCTGTGCAGCTCTTCAATTGTTTGATTCCCGTTGGTCAGTTGACTCTCTGGCCCAATAGCTCCCTTGGTTCAGCCCTTCATGGACAAGGGAGATGGATATACAGGAGGGAAGATCCTTAGTGGGATAGAGTCCTGTGATCTAAAGGTGCCCCTCTAAAGTGCAAGGGACAAATGACACACCCCAGAATGCAGGTGTAAAAACTGGAAATAAGAAAACACATTGATGAGGTTGTGCTGGGGCCACAATGAGGTTAATTAAAAATGAGCAGCGGAGAAATTGTGATTGATCGAATTTCATAATGAGACAGCTGTTGTTTGTTTTCTTTGGTAGATACGGGGGGGGGGCGGGTCTTGCTATGTAGACCAAACTGGTCTTGAACTCCTGGCCTCAAGCGATCCTCTCACCTTGGCCTCCCAAAATGCTGGGTTTACAGGTGTGGGCCACTGCATCCATCCCAGCTGAGGCTTAATGAATGAGCTCCAACTTCCTTGTCTGGAGACTCAAGTTCAAACCCAACACTAACACTTACTTTAATAAGTCTCTGAGTCTCCATTTTTCTACTGGATCAACGAACAAAATAATGCCCACCTTATCAAATTATTGTGAGGATGAACTGAAAAAATATTTGAATGTAATACAGTCCCTGGCATAGAGGAGACGCCACCTATTCATGGATGTCACTGAACATGAATTTATTTTTTGAGTAAGTGTCCATACACCTGCTGGTCTTTTTATTTATTTATTTACTTTTTAGATTTAGGGGGTACACATGCATGTTCAGTAGGTACATGAACATATTGTGTAGTGTTAGGGATTGGGTCTCAGGTGACCCATTCCCCCAGATAGTGAACATTGAACCTCGTAGGTAGTTTCTTTTCTTTTATTTCTTTTTTCTTTCTTTTCTTTTTTTTTTTGAGTCAGTGTCTCCCTCTGTCGCCCAGGCTGGAGTGCAGTGGCACACTCACACCCAGCCTCTATGTGCTGGGCTCAGGTGATCCTTTCACCTCAACCTTCCAAGTAGCTGGAACTACAGGCGAGTGCCACCACGCCCAGGTGATTTTTTGATTTATTGTAGAGACAAGATCTCACCAAGTTGCCCAGGCTGGTCTCAAACCCCTGGGCTCAGGCAGTCCTCTTGCCTCTGCCTCCCAAAGTGCAGAAATTACAGGCTTGACCCACCATGCCTGGCTCGTAGGTAGTATCTGAACCCTAATTACCCTTTGTGACCTCCCCACCTTATTGGTGTCCCCAGAGTATACCTGCTGGTCTTAAGCCCCACCCTAATTTGTGTGTCAGGTGCTCCTTGTCTCTGTGCCCTTCTTTAGAATTCTTCAGGAAACATGGAATCAGGAAAACAGCACAGACTTCCCAGCCAGGAAGCTGCCACACGCTAACTGTGGCCCCTGGACAAGTTCTTGGACTTCAGAGCCTGTTTCCTCACACATCACCCAAGGTTCCTGGTTGTGAGAGCTGCACCAACTCTGGCAATATCAATCAGAACTGGAATTGACTAAAGAAACATTGCTGACTAGCAGAACTGGCAGGAGCTGAAGGGGCAGACCTGAAAATTCAACTGGAAACCAAGGGCTGGTAGAGGAAGAACAACCTTTTCTAGCAGGCCAGTCTGGAGAGGAGGTCTAGCTGGTGGGCACTGTCACAATCGCTGCTGCTGCTGAGAAGGATGTGTCTGACCTTCCCTCCATCTTTGTGCCTCATGCTGCAGACCCAAAGCCCCAGGGGGCAGCACCTGATTGGCCAATTGCAGCCCACCTCCTGGGCCCTGAACACCATGGTATGGGGCAGCAACAAGGCAGGTCTCACTGCCACGGTGTCCACAGTGTGTGACGTGTGACCCTCCTCATGGATGTTATTTACAGCAGGGAAAGCATCCCAATCAGGAAGTGACTGAGTTGCAGGGCCTCCATTCCCCCAGCTCATCCCTGAAATGGGCAGCCATCGCAGGGTAATACCATTGGATGACATGGCTGTTTAAAAGGCATTCTGGCCGGGCTCGTTGGCTCAGCCTGTAATCCCACGCTTTGGGAGGCCGAGGTGAGTGGATTGCCTGAGCCCACGGGTTCGAGACCTGCCTGGGCAACTTGGCGAGACCTCATCTCTACAATAAATCAAGAATGAGCCGGGCGTGGTAGCGCGTGCCTGTAGTTCCAGCTACTTGGAAGG